AAAGGATGAGCGGCACGAACACGAAACTTCCTTTCCTATGCTCGTCCATGATTTAAGATAAATGAGCAGAATGAAGTAAACAAAAAGGAAAAATGCTGAGAACTAAACTCTGAAACCATCGGCTCCTTCATTAAAGGTTCGAGATGACTAAAAATTACTGTAGGTGCAACCTTTAATCTTAGATGCGACAATCTCGTCCACTCTATCGCGCGCGACGCTTCAGTACCGTTGTTGCGACAGCTCTACATCGGTCGCGACATCGCCTGGACGAGCACACCGAGGGATTGCGAAAACGCGGGATTCGTTCCCTCATTTAAATTTCAACATCGTCTTTTTCCTTTTTGTTAAGGATGTTCTGACTGTGTTCAAGTCATTCAAGTGTGTTAGTGTACATGAGTTCGAGTTCTTTTCACTATCTCTGCGTTTTCCAATAGTTTGGTTCCTTTTTCGAGAATCTTTCTGAATAGATTTGTTAGAAGATGTGTTTTTTGAATCATTTTGTAGCTTTGTGAAGTCCTTAGATCTCTTGGATTGCAGACTCATGGCTTCGCGCGTCAACATTTGTTCAGTGAATATCTTGGACAATCCGTCCACGTTCACTGCTCAGTTCAAACTCGAAATCACATTCGAAGTCTTCGAATATCTCCCTCATGGTAAGCGCTGTTCAAGTTCTTTTTGCTGACATTGAAATTGGTTTATGATTTGTTTTGCTTGTTGATCCAGAATCACGAAAATCTGTTTCGGTTCCAGCTGCAGCAAAGCGTTTGTTTTCAATTCGGACCTCTTGTGAAATACCAAAGTATAGCGTTTAAAAGTTTTTTTTAATAAATAGAATTTTCGACGAAACTCGGGTTCGGGGATGGGCACGCGATGGCGCGGCGCTGTTTTCGTCTGCTCTACCAAGGCTTAGTCACCAATGGCGCGTATTTTGAAACTGCCACATAATGGCGAAAGAGTAACTGTCCCTGTGGACTAAGACCGACGTCATAGTCGGCGACGGGCCAAGCGATGGAGCGATCGCGAGCGC